TCTGTGTCTGTGTCTGTGTCTGTGTCTGTGTCTGTGTCTGTGTCTGTGTCTGTGTGTGGGTGCTTGTGTGGCGCCGGACAGACTTGAAGTGGGCTGGGGGTGCGGTGGGGGAGTTAGAGATTTGGCCGGAGTCGCAAAGGCGCAGGACGCACGATGGAGTTGCCGTTCCAGTGGGATGACGGGAATTTTATCTCCCCATTCGTTGCCAGCAGCGCAGACGCGTTGGCGGCGCTTGCGGCGTGGATGAAGGACTCGCCGCTGCTTCAGCTGCAACACGGCGGGGCACTGCGGCTCACAGACCTCGGCTGCGGCGACGGCGCCGCGCTGCTGTCCCTGAGCGCCGCGTTGTGCGCGCCGCAAGGCGCCGGCGACCACAGTGACGACGTGGCCCCTCTGCAGCTGACGGTCGTCGGGTTGGACCTTGACGAGGAACTCGTCCTCGCCGCGCGGCGTCGCGCGGCGGCACTGACGGTGCCGCCGCCGCACCGTCTTCACTGCACCTTTGCGACCGCCGATTTGCGCCACTTGGAGGTGGCGCGGCACTTTCCTCGCTCCGAGGCCGGCAGCCATGTGGTGTTTTTGTACCTGTTGCCGGAGGGGCTGGACGCCGTCCGTGCGACGCTGTTGGAGGTCTTCTCACGCGTTGGGCTGCTTGTGTCAAACCGCTGGGAGGTGCCATTTCTCGCCCAGTGGAAGCTGACGCAGCTGCACGGCCTGCACCTCTACCGCTACGTGGAGGATGGGGCGGGGCAGACCTGACCGCCGCCGCTCAGGCGTTGATGTGGGCATTTTTTAGCTTCTGTGGGTGGGTGGAGGAGGGGGACGGTGCGTTGTTTGCGTTGCCTTTGCGGGGGATACGCTTCCTTTGCTTCTTCTTTCCATTTCGTTTTGCCTCGTATCGGACTGCGTGTGCGTTGCTGCATTCGTTTGCCCCTTGGTGCGGGTGCGCAGACGCATGGACCTCTTTCGATTCCAGTCTGCGCAGCAGTACGTGAGCCAGCTGCCGCTGCGCAGGCTCTCCTTCTGCGTGACGCTCTGGCGGGCGCTGCTGGTGGAGGAGAACCACACGGAGATGTTGTGCAGCGTGACGGTGCCGTGGGACGGCAAACTCTTCTCCCCCGCGGAGAAGCTCGAGATGACGCGCGCCGTGGCCGCTGAGGCCACCTCCGGGGGCGGGGCGCCGGCCTCGCCGGGGGACGCCGCCAATGCGGCGGAACTGCAGGCGATACGGCTGCAGCTGCTGCAGGGAAACGGGGACGCCGTCCCCGACGCGGCGCAGGCGGCGGCAGAGTTGCGGCGGCACCTCGAGAAGAGCGCCGCTGCCTTGTTCACGCACACCTCCAGCGAGGATTACATCTGCGAGGCGGAGGAGGACTGCCCGGTGGATCCGCCGCAGGACCCAAGCCCCCTGGCGGCAGTCATTCTTCGCCACTACCACGCACAGCACCAGAAAAGCAACAAGATGTATTTTATGTTGGCCATCGGAGGCATCACCGCCCCGGATGGGGCATCGCTGGCGGAGATGCGGTGGGAAGGCGAGGAGCGTGTCTTCTGCATCATCACGGCAGACAGGAGTGAGTTTCACTTTACGGCAAAACCATCCATTAACGAGACGCACACGCTATTTGTGGACTCGTTGCACGTGTACTCCTTCAAGGTTTCAGTGACGGCGGCGGAGGAAACCGCCCTGACGCCGTCAGAGCCCGACGACATCGTTGAGCACATTGGCAGCCTTGCGTTGCGTGTAAAGGATCGTCTGTGCGTCCCTCAATCTGCCCGGCGCGAGGCGCTGCGGCAGGTGCTGCTTCAACAGGCTTCTATTATGGGCGCGGCGGAGGTGGGTTTAGACGCTCAACACCTCTCGCAGGCAGGTGACGGGGGCCCGCTTGCGCGGCGCGCCTCGAGGGCGCGGGCGCGCCATTACATACATGGGACCATCGACCGTTGCGTTGGCGTCCCAGAGGGGGCGCTTTACCTTCACTGTCAGTGGCGGCAGGACACAGAGGAGGGGGACGTGTATGAGGCAGGGAAGGTGGATGAGGGCTTTACCACGCAGCTGGCCTTCGCTGGTACCGCCGTTGTTGACGACTTTATCCCGCTTCCAGTGCATACTTTTAACACCCCCTTTGAGTACCATCTGGACGCGGTGGACGCGGCCCCGCTGCAGCTTCTAGTGACGGTGTACAGTGAGACGGTGCACGCCCAGCAGGCACCTGCCGGCTACACAGTCCTGACGGTGCCGCACACGCAGCCCGGCTGCCACGCGCTGCGAGCCCCGCTTTGGCGACCGCGGCAAACCGGACGTGAGTTCCTCCGCACCGCGTTGGTGGGTGGTGCACCCGCGCTTGTTGCCCCAGGCGATGCCGCCACCCGCAACAACACGGGCATGTCGCTGAGGCACGGGCTCGTCACGGAGCCAGCGGGCGAAGTGGAGGCGCGGGTGATGGTGCTGCACCAACACAGCGTCCCCGAGACACGATAGAGCGAAGCTTCTGCAGAGGAACCTGGCGGCGCGGTTCCTTGCCGACGCTTCTCCGTGCTCTGCAATCGCCTTCTTCTCTCCTGGTCTTTTGCGTTGTGTGTGTGTGTGCGTTGTTTTTTGTTGTTTTGCTCCCCGCAACGCCGGCGGCACCTATTCCCCTACCACCACCACCACCACCCCTTTTCTTTTTCCCCCCGCTCTCCCCCACGTGAAGGGGCGGACGCCACTTCGCCTCCTTGTCTCCTTGTCCCCTGCGGCCTCCCGCCTCCTCTGCCGTCCGACCCACGTTGTATCTCCCCCTCCCCCTCCTTTTTTTCTTTTGTTGTTCTTGTTGTTGCTGTTGCTGCCGTGATTCTTCTTTGCTTTGTCGCGCCGACGCACAGGCGAGGGACCCCACGGCGTTCAATGAGTGTCGGCTCCCACAAACGCTCGCAGGGCGAGGCGGCCTTTGCGCAGGCCTCGCTTGCGCCCCACCTGCCCGCGCTGCTCCGCCCCCAGTTCCAGGTGTTCTCTGGGGACAACTTGCGGGCCATCGAGCGCCGGCTGGCGCGGGACGACGCTGCACGGGCGGAGGAGCAAAAAATCCAGGAACGGTGCGCGCGGGCCCGCGAGCAGCGGAACACGGAGTCGCAGCGAAGAATTGAGTTGATTCAGAGGAGAACTGCGCGACGCGCCGCGGCGGCGGAACGTGTCGAGGAACGCCGCCTGCAGGCCGAGCTTCGCCAGCTGTGCCGTTGGTAGCGGCGGGGGATGCAGGGTCTGTGCGTGCGGGAAGGGATGAACGCACGCGTGCCGCCCGCTTACTGTCGGCGTCGCCGGGTGCGGTGGGGGGTTCCTTACGCATCGCAAGAAGAAGAATGCGCCTGTAGACGTTAGAAACAAACCTCCGGGGAGGAGACATTCAGTAACTCCCTTTGGTCGGCCATTCGCCACCCCACACTCCTTCTTTCTCACGCGATTGCGCGTGTGTGTGTTTCCCTTCGCGTTGCCAGAGCCAACTCACGTCACTTGGCCTTTTCTGCATCCTCGCGCGTTTCTCTTTTTCTTCGGCGTCATCGGTTCCCTTTTTTTTGGGGTGGGTGGGGGGAGTGGGAAGTGTCGGCGGCTAGCGCGCGGCGTATACACGGGGAGCGTGGGTTTTGTGTGTTCCCTCAGCGAAGCAGCGGGGGACGGGAAGAGGAAGGAAAGAAAAGGCGCAGGCCTCACAGGAAGTGGTAGAACACGACGGGAGTCCCCAGGCAGAGCCCCGATGGCAGAACACGACAAGAACCCGGCCCGCGTCAATCAGTACGACCCCGCCACTTACACGCGGAAGGGCCAAACAACCCGCGTTGTGGTTCGTGAGAAGCCGTTTATTAAGTCGCGAACGCAGCGGCTGCTCGACTTTCTTCGCCCCTCCATCCGCAGCGGCTTTAACGTGGTGCAGGGGTTTGAGCTGGCGAAGGTAATGGCATGCGTCGTCTTTCCCATCGTCATGCTGCTCTACTGGAAGCACATGCAGAAGAAGCTCCCCGACCAGTGGGAGAGCCAATTTGCGGGGCTGCAGCACCGCAAGCTCAAGGAGGAGGTGCTGCAGGAGCCGGAGACGGACTACTTCACGATCATCGACACCTTTAAGGAGCGTCGCGAGAAGGCTCTGGAAAAGAAGCAGCGACATGTGAGGAATTCCGACGCACAGTCCAATCCCCCGGCAGCGTGAGGGCGGGGGACGCGCGGCAAAACAAAAATGCAGAGCCAGCATGAAAAGGCGAAGCGGGTTGGAGGCGGTGCGGCCACTGCTGCTGCTGCTTCTCAGCAGGGACCCGCTTTCCCCTAGTATATTTTTTTCTTATGCAATTTGGTGTACGGTTGATTTAGCGGCATTGCTTGGGCTTGACGTTCCCTTCGCCTCTACTCGTCATCACGCGGCGGTGCTCCCTAACCCTCTCCACACACCACTCCCTTTCCTTTTCCTTCTTTTTATTTTTGCCCTGCTTTTTTTTCTGCCCATCATCTTTGTGCACCGCAAGTTGTTTGCTTTTTTTACGCGCATTGCCATTCGCGGCGTTGATGGACTGCAATAACGGCCCTAAGCGGGCGCGTAGTGAGGCGATGGAGGAGGCCTCCAGCGGGTCGACGACGCCTGCGCAAGGGGGCCAGCCGTCTGCCGCGGCCGAGGCGACCCCGGTGCGCGACCCGGTGCTGGAGGCGCAGCTGGACCAGCTCGGCGTGGACGAGGAGTTCAAGGCGTCGCTGCGATGCATGTCGCCGAACACGCGCAGAGATGTGATGAACGACATTATACGGAGCCAGCAGCAGGAGCGGGTCTCCGCGGAGGCGCCGTTTGAGCTGCTCTCGCTCCTGACCGGCGCCCCCTTTCTGTCGTTCCCCCCCGGCGTAGACGTGCGTCTCTCCATGGAGGAGGACGAGGAGGAGGAGGAGAGGGACTCGGAGGGCCAGGGCTCGCTCTCGCCCCCGCGGCGCCACTCCCCAGGCAGCGGGACGGACGGCAGGTCCGACACTGCGAGAAGGGACGCAGCGACGCTGCGCGACCGCTTCCTGCGCGCTCAGCTGACGTCGTACCTGCTCCACGTGATGCGGGGCACGGGGGTTATCAACACCATTTCCGAAGCCATGGCGCAGCGCGCACTGGGCATGACGGAGGACATTGACGACATGTCCTACGAGCAGCTGCTGGAGCTGCAGGAGCGCATCGGGTACGTCAGCAAGGGGATTACAAAGGAGCAGATGCAGCAGTGCACGCAGGAAGTGCCGCGGCCGAAGGAAGGCGCCTGTGTGGTGTGTCAAGCGGAATGGCAGGAGGGCAGCGAAGAGAAGGAGCGTACGATGGAGCTGCGGGCGTGCCACCACATCTTTCACCAGCGCTGCATTGAGCAGTGGCTGGCCTCCAACAAGACATGTCCGGTGTGCAAGAAGGAGGTGCTGTGAGTCGCGCGGGCGGCACCGACGGCCACCACGCCGGAGGGAAACAGAGCGAGGAATGATGAAGTAAAGAACACGCAGAATACTCATACATACGCATATATGTATAGGCATTCACGTAGATATCCGCACCGGCAAGATAGGCCACCCGCGGCAAGGAAAGACAAACAAACAAACAAACAAACAAACAAACAAACAAAGTCAGGCAACGAAAACCACAAGGAAGAAGGTGGCGTATAATACTAGAAAGAGGGGAAACCGGCCCCGGAGTTCCTAAACAGGGGCAACCCAAACGGCAACAGATGTTGGAGGAAGCGCGGGGGAAGTCCGACAGGGGCTTTCGTGGCAGCGAGGAAATAAAACGACGGGGGAGGGGGTGAAAGGAATAGTGGATAAGCAAAGCCAAATAGGACGGCAGCGGCAACAACGAAGCGGGTGGCGGCGGTTAGCTGAGCGAGAGGAGGGGGGACGCAGCACAAATAAACACGCACGGATGTCATTAAAATAATTCCTCCCCGCTTCCGTTTGGCTACACGGCGCAGTTGCGGAAGCAGGGCACGACAAGCTTGCGGCGATCGGGGAGGCAGCAAGGGAAGGCGGGGGGGAAAGCGCCGCACAGGCGAAAAAGGGACGTATACATGGAAACGAAGAGCGAGCCTTGGCGTGTGTGTGGGGAGGCTCGAAGGCAGCGCGAGAATGCGTGTCGTGAGACTTGTTTGCCTCATCTTTTTGTTTTATTTTCCCCCTCTCCCAACGCTGCCCCCGACTGTTGCTTGGGAAAAGGAGAATAAGAAGAAAGGGAGCTCGACGACATTTAATAATGCCATTCTTCCTCTTCTTCCTCTCTTTGCCTGTGTGCCTTTGGCTCCCTCGCTCTTTCTTGCCAACCCCCCGTCCTCCCCCGCCCCCTTTTTTTTGCTTTGGTTCATCTCCACGCGCTGCTGCATGTATAATTTACCCACCAGTGCGCTGCGTCGTCTTCACCTCCGCTTGCCTCTGCCGCGACTGCGTGTTGCCCGCCCCTCTACGCCGCCCTCCCCTTCTTCCCACCCCGCATGTGTGTCTGTGCGAGGGAGAGAGACGGAGGAAGCGAGAGGCAAAAAAAAAAAAGGGCGGGGGGCAAAAGGAACAGAGAGGCGGAAATCAAAAAAAGAAAACAACAAACCCCAGAAAAAAGGCTCTCCCCCCGGTTTTTGGCGGCGGAGGCGGGGGCGGAACGTGCCGCGTGCTTTGCGTGCGTGACACCCCGCCACCGTTTCGGCGTCGTTATGTACTTTCCGCCCCCCTCGCTGCCCCTCACTTGCCGGGGCCGCTACCGCCCCGCCCCGCCCCGCCCCGCCCCGCCCCAGCGGCAAACGGGGGGGAGGCGGCGAGCGGCGGCAGCAGCAGCAGCCACCAACACAAAGGAGGGGGAAGGAGAATAAAATGAATCAAAGAGAAGCAGCCAGAGTAATTTTCTTGTTTGTGTTTTTCAGCACGCCCCTGGCTGCCATTTCTTTTTTTTTTTTTTGTCTGGCAGGCTTCGTACAAAAGAAGACATATAAAAAAGAAAGAAAGAACACTAGACAGGAAAGGGAGCGGAAAGCAAAAGAGATCCTTCCCTTGTTTCTACCTGCGACGTTGGCTGTGTGCCTCGTGCACGGCTTTTGTATGCACTCCACCTCCTCACTTCCACAAATGCTGACGGTCTGTTCCCATGCACCCGCTGTTTTCCCCCCTTCCGTGCTTTTTCATTTATCTCTATGCGTGTGTGCGTGTGCGTGTGCGTGGGTGTGTACTGGCGAGCTAAAACCAAAACAGTGGAAAATGCTTGAAAGTTAACTAGTTATTATTTCTGAATATGAGAAAGAGAGGGCATTTGTTTTCATGTGAAATCATTGAACCCCCGGCGAGACGTTGGACGCATTCAGCTGCATGAGGGAACGGGGAGCGACACCTTTTTTTTTGTTGTGGTTCTTTTTTTATTTTTAGCCACTTTGAATTGCCTCTGACTTCTTGTTATTCTGTTTGACCTCTCTCTGCGCCCCGGCGCTGACAGGTAGCTATGACCTCCGGGCTTTTTGCCTCCTATGAGGATGACTTCAATGAGAGCTCGCGGCAGGTGCGGGCGGCAGCGACGGCCCTGCAGGAGTCGTTAAAGCAAAACTGCAGCGCGTACGAGCCTCCCCCCGCGACGGGCCCGCAGAGCCGCGCGCATCACTGCCAGGTGATGCAGCAGGGGCTGGCGCACATGCGCGAGCTCGTCACAAGCATGTTGTACGAGAGCAATGACGTGGAAGCGGGCGAGGCCCGAAGCGAGGCGCGACGGCGCGTGGAGGATTACAAGCGGGTTGTCACCGTTCTTGAGGGGGAGCTGTTTAGGCTGCGGCAGGAGTCGCAGGATGCGGATAGGATGGACCTCATCACGGGCGGCAACGACGCACTGGACGACGCCACCCTCGAGGCGCGCACCCGCATGCTCGGCAACACGCAAAAGCTGCGGCAGGGCACCACGACGCTGGAGCGGGCCGAGCGAGCCCTGCACGCCGCAAGCGACTTGGGAACCTCGACCCTCTCCACGCTTCGCGCCCAGACGGAAACGATGCGGAACTTCAACGCGAACATTCATGGTGTCGATGCGGAAGTCATGGAATCACGCAGAATCGTTAACCAAATGCAGCGCACAGCGACGAAGAGAAAACTGTGCCTTATAGGCGTCATTCTCGCACTGATCTTCTGCGTCGTGGGGTTGGTTTTCCTGCGCTAGTCGACGGTGCGGCGGCTGTGTGCGCCTTTCTGTTTCCTGCTTTTTTTGTTTTGCAAGTGTTTCGGTCTTGTCTTTCAGCTGCACCCCCCCCCTGTCGGTTTCTTTGATGTGTGTGTGTGTGCGGGTTGTTTTTTTTTTGCCTTTTCTTGCCGCCGCGTGTTGTTTTCGGCCTCTCGCCGTTGCCTGGGTTAATTTTTTCACTTTTCTCTGTTCTTTTTTCCTGCCTTGTCCCTCCCTCTCTTTCTCTCTCGCTTGCCGCGGGCGATGGGAGGGAAGGGGAGGGGGCCGCGCCATGTCGACGCTCTTCCAGAGCTACGAGGAGGAGTACCGCGACGTCGTCAAAAACGTCCGCGAGGGCCTCGACGAGCTGCGCGCGACGCTCAACCGCGAGGCGGACGGCTACGCCGCCGCGCCGGCCACCGGCCCTGCCAGTCGCCTGCAGCGCGGCGCGCAGCTCGTGCGGCTGACGGTGCAGCTGAAGGAGCTGCTGAACAATATGGAGTACGAAAGCAACGACGTCCCTCCCGCGCAGCGGGCGGCGTTGCGGGAGCGGCTGGCGGAGTATCGAAGGGACGCGCGTGGGTTGGAGGAGGAGATCGCAAAAACGCGTGCTGAGTGTGCCGCCGCCGACCGCGCGGACCTCATGGGCGCCTCGGCGACGGCCGGCCCGGCCCCGGTGCATGCCAGGGCCTTGGGCCTCGACGAGGAAACCGCCAAGCACCGCCTGCACATGATGCAGAATACGGAGCGGGTGAAGCAGGCCTCGAGCAAGTTGGGCAGGGCAGAGCGGCTGCTGAACGACACGGAGGAGACCGGGGCGACGGTGATGCAGGGCCTGCGCACCCAGACAGAGACGATGCATCGCATCAACGCCACCACAAATAGCGTCAATGAGGAGATCTCAGAGGCGCGCAAGATCCTCACCCAAATGCACCGGACGATGATAAAACACAAGCTCATGCTGACTGGTATCATTTTAGTATTGCTCTTTCTCATATTTCTGGCGGTGTACCTGTCCTTTTCGAAGAATGCAGAACAGAGGCCAGTGGAGCCGCCGCAGGCCCAAACGGATGCTCCACAGCTACCAACATGGACTCCTCAGGCAGGAGGTGGTCTTCCCGCTGAGTGAAACCACTCTACCTGCAACTTGGCCCAACACATATATATATATGCGCCTGCTTCTCAGTGCGTGTATGGGTACGCGATTTGCATCTTCGACTGAAAAGGGATTTTGAAAGGCAGGAGCAAATATGCTGCATGGGAAATGTGTCGCCGCAATCCTTGGGCCTCCGCGCGAGGGTGAGGCAGCGAGTCTTTTGTACCCTCTTCTTTGCACCGGCTCTCTAGTCTCTTCCCGTGCTGCCCCTGCAACAGCGACAAAAAGTATGTGGCTTCTTTTCTTTTGCTTTTTCTTGGCTGGGGGAAGGGATACAATATCGACGCCGTAAAGGAGAGCGCCTACAAAGTCAGGGGCGCTCTGAGCTGTGATGGTTGCGGACTCCGCCCCGCCTGCGTCGCGATTGGCCTACCAGAACCTCCTGCAGGCCCTGGTGTACGAACGGAAGTCCATCAATGACGCCTACGACTCTCTTTGGGGGATTGTGAGTCGCAACCTCGCCGACGCTGCCGAGACGACCTCCGTCAAAAACGTTTTGCACGGCCTGACCGGAATGCTGCGCTTCATCTTTGAGCGGCTGTACCAGCACACAAGCCAGACCGCCCTAACCTTCGTGAAGGAGATCGGGGGGGCGGCGGAGGGTCGATGCTCGGGCACGGTGGCGGCGCTGTACGACGCCATTAAAGCGAAGATGGTCGCCCCCAGGGTGCGACGGGGCGACAGCGAGCCGCAGCCGACTTCCGCCGAGGAGGGCGGGGAAAAAGTGAAGGGCGGCTGCCAGAATCGCTACGTCTTTGCGATTTCATCCCACTACGCGTGGGAGACGCAGCTGGAGCTTCTAGAGGTCCTCCTACACAGGTTCAACTGCACAACTGTGGTGCTGAGGCGGTGCGAGGCGGGCAGGGAGCCAAGTGTTGCGCAGCAACTCGGGTGCAACTTCCTCGTTTCGCCGCAGGCACCCACCACCCCCTGCGCCATCCTCCACGCAACAAGGGAGAAGTTGTTGCAGTACGCGAACCCCTCCGTCGGGGATGAGGTTGACGACGAGCTGGATGAGTTGCTGCGCGCACTAGACACCACCACCGCACGCCCCAGCGCCTCATTGACAGAGGCGGCTACGGTGAAGAGCCCTGTTGCCTCCGCACCTGTTGTCTCTCGCAATGTCCCGCGGAGTGAACTCTCTTCGTTCCCACAGCAGGCGATGAACCTGATTGACACGCACCCGGTGACCACGTGCCCAAGCACACAGTTTAAAGAATTACAGCCCTGCACGCATGCGACGAAGCGACCCCGTGCGGAGACCGTTCACACGTCGCCCGCCATATTTTCCACGTTAGCGGGCTCCCCGACGGAGCTGTCGCAGGTGATTCATTACCAACGTGAGCCCTCTGCTAAAGCTGCACCTCTGTGGAGTGCGAGCGACACAGATAAGTTTCTCCTGGACCCCTCACAGTGGCGCTTCCAAGTTAGCAATTCCCTTAAGGACTTAAAAGATGAGGTTATTAGTTCCATTCGCCTCCTGGGTGGCCGCGTAGATAATGGCAAACGGTACAACCCACAAACAACCCACTTGATCGTTGCCGAAAGATTGGCCGAGCGCACTGAAAAATATTTGAGTTGCTGTGCCGCACTGAAGTACATTGTGTCTCCCCGTTACGTTTTTGATTCCGCGCGGCGTGGGAACTGGATCGTTGACCGCTTACATGAGTATGACGAAAATCCTCTGCGACGCTTACCAGCGTCACCCGCAATGCCGCCATTTCGGGGCTGGCGTGTGGTGTTGTTTACGTCCAGCGCTTCCGTGGACGCGGGCATTGCGACTGTACTGAGGGCCGGTGGCTGTACGGATACCACGTCCTACGTCTTTGATGCTGCGCACACGCCTGCTATAGACTATAAATGCATAGAGTACGCCTCCCATCTGCTGGTAGAATGCGAAGAGGTCTCGCAAACGGGACGTTTTCTCATCCCTACATGGTTTCCGCACAAATTGAAACGACAAGATCATAGACTGTTTTCACTAGAACTGCTACTTCATTTATTGTGCTTCTGCCACTCTCCCGTGTTTGGTGAAGGTGGGCGCCTGATAAATATCCGGCCACTACCCCCGTCGTGTCTGCTAGACATTCCTTGAGCCCACTTTGGTAATAGACTCCGTTTATATGCCGTTGTTTTTTTTTTCTTGCTCTTTCTTTTTCATGACTTCCCACTTTCTCTCTCTCTGTGCCTCTTGTGCGTGGTGGGGTGTGTGTGTGTGTGTGCGCGCGCGCGTGCCTCTTCGCCGCGTCCGCGTCACCGCCGCTGCCACCCCTGCTGGGGCTTGTGTCTGCGTTGGCCCTTCGACCGCGTGCCCACCGCTGCTCTCCCCGGCACTCTTCGTTTTCCCTTCCCCTTTTTGTTTTGCTTTCTTTTTCTCGTGCGGCCCAAACGCCTCCGCCGTGGCAAAAGTCGCCCTCAAGACATCACCGACACAAACACACCGCGAAAAAACACTCGGGGAAGGCGCCGTACATTATTACTATTTATTCATCTTGTTGTTGTTTGTGTTTCTTTACATACGAACGATGGCGTTCCTCTGCGGCTGCTCGATGCTCCTCTCCTTTCTGATCACCGCCCTGCTCGGGGCCTACTTGGTCTACATCATCGTCTGGGTGCCGGTGTACCGCTACGTGGCAATCATCTTTGTTCTGCTGCTGCTGGCCTTTAGCCTTTCCGCGTGGCGGTTTCTGCCCTCCGAGCGCGCGTACGTGCGGGAGAAGGCGGAGGGCATCGTGGATGGGCGCCTCGCCTTCACCCTGCCAGCAGGGACTGTGTGACGCGTGAGCTAGTCTTCCTTCTCTCGGAAGAGGAGAAAGTCGCTCCGCAGCGCAGTAGGGCCTATGTTTGTTTGTTTATATATATATATTTTGTCCATCATGTAGTTGGATTATTTTGCCGCTTGCGTAGTTCTTCTCTTCACAGGATGCTGCTTCACTTGACGTGGATGCACCTTCTCCCATGGGCTCTGGACGGAGGAGTTTAGAAGCCGTGGGTAGCGCCTTTTTTTTCTCTTTTGGGGGGTTCTAATTATTATTATTATTATTATTATTGGGGGGGGGGTTCCTTTACGTCTTTGTGACTTTTTTTCATGCCTCTCCCACACACGCGCCCATGCGTGTGTGCGTGTCTCCCTCGTCGGGTGTGTGTTTGTTGTGGGGGTGGCCGTAGAGGTTCTCCCTCCCCCTGCGTCGGGCGCCCGCGTCCGTCTCTGTTTCTCGCTGTGTTCTGCAGTTCTTGTTTTTTTTTCCCCCCTCTTTGCCTTCGCTCGGCGCGCCGCAGCCAACGCCAACAGAGCCGCGTAGCAGGAGCCAAAAAGGTGCGGGAAGGAGGAGGCAGCGTTGCGTCTCTCCGCCGCTTTCTCTCTCTCTCTGTCCGTCTGGGTGTGTCTGTGGGCTTTTGCGGGCAGAGAAGTTTCGCGTTGTCGCCGTGCAGTTAGTCCCTTCCCGGTTGCCGCATGACGGTGGTGGTGAGCACAGGGAGGCGCGTGGTCCCCGGCGACGTCGTCTACGCCGGCGGTGCGAGCCGCGGCGCGTGGGACGACGTTGCGGCCGGGGACGGCTGCTGCACACGCCTGGTGGCTGCCGCCGCATCGGCGGAGGAGGAGCGGCAAATCATAGCGACACGGCTGGGCGTCGTGCAGTGGAGCGAGAGTACCGTGTCTGTCCACCGCCCCCTCAAGCGCCGGCGGGAGTCCGCCCACGTCGCGTTGATAGCCGGCGACGCATGTGACACCGACGCGCCTTCCGCCTTGGCGAAGTCGGCCACAGTCTTCGGCCCGCGCCTGGGGGACACGGTGCACCTGCGCGTCGTGCGTGTGTCGCGCGCCTTCGCGTACGGCGAGATCATCGCCGTCAACGGCGCGTGGTGCAGCAACGGCGGCGTGGGCGTCGGGCTAGCGGGGTCGTTCCGCGGCGTGGTGCGTGTCGAGGACATCCGCCCCTTCAGGCCGCGGAAGGACCAGTTGACCCCGCCGCCGCCCTCCGCCGCGTTTCACGCCGGGGACGTTGTCCTCGCGACGGTGCTGTCGCAGTCCGACGTGCGGCAGTTTCAGCTGGGCACGATGGACGAGCACTGCGGGGTGGTGGAGGCCACCGTCGTGGTGGACCGCGTGCGGCTGCGGCTGCAGCACATACCCGGCCGCCGCGACGCGATGCGGAACCCGGCCGATGGAACCGTCCACTACCGCTGGTGCCCGCTGATTCACCCCACCGTGGCGTGATGCACGCACGGGAGGCGAGGAACGCGGCGGCGGGGTGGGATGGGGCGCGCACAGCACTTTCTTCTCTTCCGTCTGCGTGCGTGTCTGCGAGTAAAGCGAAAGCAAACACAAATAATAAAGGCGGAGTACACCCGCAGCTGGGCGAGGCACTCCCCAAACCAACGAGAACAGTAATACACATACGCCCACACGCGCATTTGTAGCCCGCGCTGATGTGTGAAGAAGAGCCGAGAAACAAAACAGCAAGAACAACAGCAACAGCAGAGCGTGAAAGTGTGTTTGGCTGCGGTTGCCGGCGGCAATTGACATCATTGCTGTCTCTGTTCATCTCCCTCCTCTCTCTCTCTCTGTTTCAGCGGCATGGGCTCCACTCACTCGGCTACTCTTTCCTTCCTTTTTTCTTCCCTGTTTTTTCTCCCTCCCTCCCACCACCAACAAACACGCTTTGTGCGCCCCGCCACAACACCAACACGGCCGCCCTGCCGCGGGGAGCAGCCACCACAACCGGGGCCGTTTTATTCCTCTTTCTTTTTGTTGTTGTTTTTGCGCCAAGCATGACGTTCTTGTGCTCCTCCCTCGCCTACGTTGGGGCCTTGGCCGTCGCGGTGGCCCTCTATCGTCTCGTGAAATTTTTGTACGTCAACCTGCTGGCCGCCACGGACCTGAGGCGCAGGTACGCGAGGGCCGGCGACTGGGCCGTCGTCACCGGCGCGACGGAGGGCATCGGCTACGCCATGGCGATGGACCTCGCGCGCCGCGGGTTCAACGTCTGCGTCATCGCCCGCACCCGGTCGAGGCTCGAGGAGGTGGTGGCGGCGGCCGAGCAGAAGGGGGTGAGGGCGAAGGCCGTCGTCTTTGACTTCGCCGCCGCGGACGCGAGCGAGTACAAGCGGCTCTTCGCCGAGCTCGACGCGCTGGAGGTGGCCATCCTCGTGAACAACGTCGGCGTCAACTACCCGTACGCCAACTTCTTCGACGAGGCGGCGGCGGAGGACGACTTGCGGATGCTGAAGGTGAACTGCGAGGCCACGCTGCGCATGACGCGCTACATCGTCCCCCGCCTCAAGGCGAAGCGCTCGGGCGGCGTCGTCATGCTCGCCTCGATCAGCGCCGTCATCCCGACGCCGATGCTGGCGGCCTACGCCGGGAGCAAGGCGTTCAGCATCTCCTTCGCCCAGGGCCTCGCGTACGAGCTCAGGCCCTTCGGCGTCGACGTGCTGGTGGTGACGCCCAGCTTAGTCGTGAGCAAAATGACGCAGGGCGTCAGCACGCGCAAGCCGCGGGAGTCGTTCATGATGGTCAACGCCGCGGCAATGGCCCGGCAGACGCTCAACAAACTTGGCGTCGTCACCCGCACCTGCGGCCACCTCAACCACGCGCTGGTGGAGCTCGTCGCAACAGCCCTGCCGGAGGCGTGGCTGGCGAACCAAGTGCTGGCGCAGAACAAGGCCCTAAAGAAGCGTGCAGAACGCCAGCGACCGCAGTGACACACAGACTCGCACCCATAAGGAGAGAACAAGCAAAAAGAGAGAGATAAAAAAAACCGAGAAGAAATATCCAAGCGGAAGAGAACTAACGAAGAAGTGGCGTGAACTGAGTGTGTGCGTGCGTCTGTGTTTGCCCCACTTTACACGCACAGTTTAATCGAGTTGCATTTGCGTATGTGTATGCATCCCCTCTAGCGTGGTGGGCAGACACTCCGCACCGATTTTCCTCTCCGCCCCTCTTCCTCGCGCGCCCATCCCGCCGCGCGTGTATGTGTGCAGCATCCATGCTAATTAGCGTCTGCGGCGTGAAGAGAAAAAAAAAAACAGGAGAGAAGGGGCGGAATGAAAAATAAAAAAAATGGCATAAACTTTCACGAATCTAGCGTTAGAAAAGAAAAGTGTGCGTGGGAAGAAAGCGAAAGGGCTCCTGCAGCTGCGGGAGGCGGGAGAAATGTGGTCCCGCCGCAGTCGCCGCGCCATGACACACTGCGGG